AATAAAAATAACCAAGACTTTTTACATGTCAGCTTATCCTCAGCTGTAAAAGAAAGAATTTAGGACCTGGGTAGAAAATGTTCTAATAGTTCTGATTTATAAGTCTCTCCGAAAGTTTAATGGCAAATAGGAGACGGCAGTCCATAATCTCCCCAGCGTATGAACTCTCTCCTGTTGGAGCGGAAATTGTTCCCCCGCCAGCAGCTACGAAGCCACTTTGGGCATCCTGTGACCGACACCCCCCCCACTGTACCCCCTCAATTTCCTCCTCCTGGGAAGTGCCACAGTTGAGAGAAACTTCTCCACAGCTTCAGTGCTCACATCCTCCAAAGGCCTTTTGCCAGCTTTGAATTCTGAGGTTAGAAAAGGATATTTGGAAGAGGTAAAGGTCAAGACTAGGGATCCAGCATTGATAAAGGGATCGAGGCATGTGCTCGAGGGACAGCATTAGCAGGCTTAGGGTTCTGTAGCCTGAGATGGGAACATCACCAGGTATTGACTGAGACTTTATTACATTCAAAATGTATAAGAGTACAGTTTCATGGACATTGCCACAAGGGAAGGGAAAATAATTGAATATTTATTGTGCATTTATAAGTTGGGAAGCTACTTCTATCTTCAATTTCCTATCCGATATATAAAACTTGGTTTGATTTTCTTCCAAAACAGACATGCTGTAGATATCTTTTTTACTCAGCAAATCTTGTTTCTCAAAGAGGTTAGTAATTTTCCCAAGGATATGTACATAGGAATTACCTTACCCTGCATCTGAAATCAAGTCTGACTTTATTCAGTAACCCAAGAAAATTATGGATCAGAAATGCAAGAGCATGCCCTATCCAGATCCTAAATTCCTTCTTTCAAAATGAGGGGAAGCTGACATGCAGAGAAGATGTGGTCATATTTTTAAAAATATATTCAACAATGTGGTAAAAAGGGAATTCAAGGAGCTGGAAAGCACAGGTCATACCATTCGCAAACTGCATTCAGGCTCAGTTAGACATACTGAACATTTTCCTAGTCTTGAAAATGGTGACGACCGGGACACTGGCTGTAGTCCTGGAGATCATGAAATAGAATCAACTGTTTCATTTGGTTCTGGGGTCACCTAGGTGCTACAGGGTAAGGAGTGTTATTTGCAGAATAGGCTGAGCTTACCACTTCTCTCTGCCTCACCTTCCTGTTCCTTACGAAGAACACCATTCATTGTCACCGTGCAGGGTGGCGTTCATCCAACATTTTGGTTGTTAACACGGAGAAGACTTCCTCAGGCTATACTAAATAGTGACATTTTATTCTAAAGCTCCTTACAAACCTTTTTTGTCCTTGTTCTCATTAATGAAAAGCTTATTAGCATTTTGCTAATAAGCATTTTGCACTGAGCTTTCCACTTGAATAAAACGAACCGTGATAAATGTAATCACCAATTTTCTGATAAGACGAAACCAAGAAGGTTGAGGCCTTACCCTGACTTCAATATTCTAATTTCCATGGCGTTTCATTGTCCCAAGTGTTACCCAGCAGTTTGCCCCGTAGCCAGTTGTTCCAGCACATTCAAATAAGACGCCGTTCCCCAGGTAGCGGAAGAAAGCTGACTGGAAAAGCAGAGGGCTGGTTTTGACTCCTAGCCTTTGCAACCCTTCCCTGTTTTCCTCAGGCACTTCACCTTTCTAAACGTAGGTGTCCATCAAAGGAGATGATAGCAGAGAGCTCACCAAATTGTTGGGGATAGTAGCCGGAACATACATGCATTGTTGAGGCTGCTGTCACTGATGGTGGTGGTG